CATTTTGTATCGTAGTTAGTTGTTTTCTGTCTTTGTATCTTGATGTTTTAGGTCACTTAGCTACGTTGGTAGCGCTCTCTAAACAGTGGTGACTGGTGACATTTGGAGATTGGTACACCTGGTTGGACCAAACCAGCAAACCTATTTGTGTATAACCTTTGCGAAAATTATCTAATTTGGTGCATTTGTTTTGTGGTGGATTATTTTATACCAGTGCATATATTTATCAACCAGACCTCAGAAACGTAAGGTTTTTCTAAATTTAAAATATCGACTGCTTACTTGAACGTTTACTTAGTATTTAATCATGAACGCTGCTCTAGGGGAACCTTGCCTAGTTCTCTGGCAAAGATACCTGCCTAGTTATATGGCACTTGACTTTTAATTATCTAAAGTAAACATATAGTCAAGTATATATCTTTATTTAACTTTATCTGCAATTCATTAGAACCTCTCTCCGAGGAACTAATAAATGATTTAATTTAACGTTACCTCTAAGTTGAAAACTATCTATTGTTTTATATTTAGCAAATATTTATTAACGTTATCTTTACCTTTTAAAATAAAATTTTAATTATTTGGTACTTGCAAAAGTCCTGGCGCCCAGCCTAGATTTTGGTGATAACTCAAATCAATCTAAGCCCTTATTCACGACCTGCTCACTGAGCTACCGGTTCATAAGTACAACCCCCAGCTTATTGTGTTATGCCAACAATTGGACGGGGGGTGTTGCAATACACTACAACAGGTTAAAATCGAATAGGGAATATTTTAATAATGAAAATTGATTAAGATGGTGCCCTCTATCAAACTAACTAAGGACTAACGTTAAATAAAAAGTAAGATTGAAAACTATATGTGAACCAGGTTTTTTTTTATAATAGTGGAGTTTATTATATTCAACTGCAGATGGTGATATCAGCGAAAACACACTAAACATGGTAGTAATAGTTACTTATAAGAAAATAAGGTTGAATTATATTATCATAATGTCTAGCATATGGAAACAAATTTCAATAGTGAAATAAAACAATAAAGGAATCTTATGAGAAATTTTCTGTTTGTGTCATCATGAATAATTACTCATATGGGATTAACCTACCTACGTTACTTATTTTGTGTGTATGGATAATATAAGTAGTAGTTTGTATTTTTCGAACTGTGATTTCTGTAAGGTGGAATTTTTAACTTTTGTTGAAAAATAAACTTTCTTTAAATTTTAAAATAAACTTTTGTAAAAAAATAAAATGATAATGATAAAAAATGTGTAATGTGTATATGTGGCTACATAAAAGCATACTAAGAAATTAAGAGCTTTATCTAATATTTCACTTCTAAAATTAATTAAATTTGTGAATCAGAAAATATTAACAGAAAACGTGTTTTCACTTGACGTGCGTTTGCTTCGAAAGTACTTGTCCAGCTGATTTGCTCGTTTGCGCTATGAATACAACTGGTGGTACCATTCTCGAGATTGCTATAGGTACTCATGTCTCATATACCGAATGCTAATAGAGGCAAATATTCAACACACCTTCAGATAAGAAGCTCTCCAATAATAGTCCTACTAAGATTCTAAAACGCATTTGTACATCGAATCTGCTCATGGTAACTTTTTTATCAGCTTTTCTGTTTGTAGCAATATTCCAAGATAATTGTTTCATTTACTTATTCTCGGGGTAAACCATTTTTGTAAAACAAAAAAAGATCAATAATAGAGAAGAGTAAAACAATGATTTGTTAATCAAAATTTTGTGAAATCAGTTATGTCTGTTTCATCCGTTACTTATCTACAATTCCGGCCATTGATCTGTGTGTACGAATGCTGGAATATATGCATCTTACACGCAGATCAATAAACATTTTCTCAGATAGCCAAGCAGCTATAAAAGCTCTTGGATTCTACCGGTGTAACTCCAAAACGGTATGGAACTGTCAGAAAGCTCTAAATCATTTGAGCAAAAACAACAAAGTGACTCTGGTCTGGATACCCGGCCACTCTGGTATGGAAGGTAATGAAATAGCGAACTCCTTAGCTACCTCAACCTGGGCTGAAAGGAAAACTCTCCAGTATTGGCAAGAGTTACCAGGATTAGTTCATTCGAAGGCGTCTATAAAATACCCTTTGAAATCAAGAGCTAAGAAACTTTTAGAGTTAAACAGGGTAAACTTGAAAACTCTAACAGGCCTATATACCGGGCATTGCCGACTAAACTATCATCTGCATAAACTCGGCCTAGCGGAAAACGCCGAGTACCGTCTATGCCTGGAGGATGATGAGAAGGCAGACCACATCTTATGCACCTGTCCCGCTGTGGAGAGGATCCGATTCTCAATATTTGGCAAAAGGCAACTGCTGCCAGAGGATCTGGACACATCCTCACCCAATAAAGTTATCAGTTTCATTAAGAGACTGAACTTATTGGGTGAAATATAATTAGGCGTGAGCCACAATAGGCCTGGTGATGGCCACAGTGGAGGGTCTACTGAGACCCACTCACAACAAACCTAACCTAACCTATCTACAATTCACCTAAAACTAGTATGCCGAAAGTTTTCAGGAGGAATTTTTTAAAGTGAAATAAGTATCTACATTTCTATCTTTGCGAAAGACTAATTAGATGTTTATATTTTTGTGTTATATTAAATTTATATATTTCTTTATTTCCATCGAGTTACCTGATTTGATTTTATTATAGATGTACTGGGTTGGTAGGACAAAATTGCAATATATACCTTGAGTGTGAGGCACCCTCAAGGTATGGTCACAACAATTTTTGTCCTAGATTTTGTTCAAAACGGAATAATTATTATAATTTCTATTTGCAGCGTCAGAAAAAGGAAGATGTGTATTATTATTTCGGCTCCATAAAAATAAGCAATTTAAGTTTGGCACCGCCTACTCATAGAAAAACTAAAATACTCTTAAAAGACTTTGTAAATAGTAAATTAACTCGAAAGGAGATTGAGTTCAAACTGGAAGCAAAGACAGGAGAAGTACAAAAATCTTGGAGGGACGCCTTACAAAAATGTTTATGGCAACAATTACTTAGTGCTAAAGGTACGTTAGTTGATTACTAAGATAGTGAAATAGTTTCTTTCTTATCGAATAAATGTTATACTGATCACAAGGGACATCGTACATGTTTGACTTCCTTTAGTATACATGCATACTGCTTCAACAAATTTAGAGAACAATTTTTGACTACCTGCACTGAAAACTTAAAATTTCCAAAACTGTCGTACTAGGTGCAATATAAGATAAACCAGGTTTACCAATTTGTACTCCAGGTTTTCCAAAATGTATCAGCACGGTAACTTTTTGTAATGAAAAAATAAAATTTGTTTATTTACTAACGCATTTAAGGACATCTGTCACAAATACAATGTCTAGTATACTTTAGACAGATCTGAACAAGATTTAACTTGTATCCTTAGTTATTAAATATGATTTGAACGAAACAACTACTCAGCGGGCAAATACCCCGACCTGCATTGGATTATACCTTCAAATCATGATAGATCGGTAGCCAATATCATTTGTCAATTCCTAATCAGACATAGACCGGTTTCGAACTTATTAGTTCTCATCAGTATGCCATAGGTTATGGAACAGACAAATGATAGTAGCCAATCTGCTAGTCATCTGACTAAGGTAAATTGAGTAGTGGTGAGAGGTATGTGAAAATTCTCATATGGTCCAAATGCTACTATCCGACCTACATCATAGATGTCTCTGTGGCGGATAGCGACTTGCAAGCAAGTACCGAGAGCGGTGACCTCTAGCCCAGGTTAATAACTACTGTTATTAAATATGATTTGAAATATATATTTAATAAAATACATATTTAATAACAGTAGTTTAGTCTGGGCTAGAGGTCGCCACTCTCGGTACTTGCTTTGCAAGTCGCTATCCACCACAGAGACATCTATGATGTCGGTCAGATAGTAGCATTTGGACCATATGAGAATTTTCACATACCTCCCACCACTACTTGTATCCATAGATTTAGCTTGATGTTTGTCCAATTTTTTCATCGAAATCAAAAAATCAGACTCTCTTATTAAAAGCCTTGATTTGTATCATAAAAATAGCTTTTGGTTGACGATAAATAAATAATCACCCAGATTAATCAGTGCTCAGGTCTAATTTTGTTTTTAAGTTTCATGATATTTAAAACTGATAATTTAATTTTTTTTTTTTATTTTCAGATGATGTTCAGAACCGATAACAATTGTATTGTAACTGACAATAAAAATTTCGTATTAAGCAACATATTTCTGTTTTAATGTATTAATGTATTCTGGTCATTTTCAGGTTTTTGTGCTACTGAAAATGGAAATAAATTAAGTGAGGGTTAACCTTTAGGACATTAATAAGCAATTTTATTTATAGTTGAAGAAACCTACATTGTAACGGGACGTCAGGGGTAAGACGCAAGTTCGCTTAATATAAATTGTTATTACGCCAGCAAATAAACAGAACTTATAATATTATACTTACAATAATATTAGCACTGCTAAAATGATTCGGTAACAAAAGTAAGTGCGGTTCTGAAGTATCTCAGCATGTAAGCGAAAGTCCTCCTCGGTCGCGTGCCACATAAACAATAATCACCATTCTTGCTTTAATGCATGCGGTGTAAAAGATGGAAGATGTCATGTGTTATACATTTTCCGCCCACATTTCCCGTCTTGCCCCGCACGTCCCGACACATTATAGGTTTTCTCAACTATACCATAACTAGGCGCCATCATAATGAATATGTTATAGTTATTAACTAGATAACTTTGATTATGGCATTAGCGAAACAAGTTTGAATGCCAAAACGAGGTGATGAGACGAGTTATGCGGCAATCAAACAAGTTTACAAGTTTAGTTTGTATTCCTGAAGGTACCTCAAGGTACCTTATGTGTAAGAGTATTACACGTTTAGAGACAATGGACACACACCCAATGTCCGAGTATACTAGGATTAATTCCTGGTTTAGAAAAAATTCTACCTCCTCGACCGGGGATTGAACCCGAGACTCCTGAGTGAGAGGCAAGTGCCCTTACCACTCGACCATGAAGCCACACAATTAATTTGTTTAATAGCCTATAACAACACCTACGATGACAAATAGATTATATAAAACAATGTGATGAAGCGATCATAATTTTTGAAAACTTCAAAATTTAAGTTTTAGAGCACGTATTTTGTATCAAGTGCGGTAAGTAAAGACAAAGTAATGACAATATATCTTAATATAGCAACAAAAAACTCACACATTTATTCATCACATTCTCAATTCACCTTAAATTGCTACTATCTATTTAAGGTTGTTCTCAATCATGTTGGCCAATATTGGACTTATCTGTTCTACCGTATTTGAGATGAGCCATATGCACCTTGAATCTAGTTTGACTTGATAGTCTAGTTTGTCCAACATAACTTGATTATAGTTCTTAAAGCCAATTTCATAAAAATAGTATGAATAGTAACAGAGGGCCAATCCCAGATATAGTCTGATTCTATTGGTTAGTCACGGTTCGCCGAAACGTAACAAGAGTTTATGTATAAACAAAATATATTGTTAGCATAAGACTAGTTTTAGTCATCTCCAAATTATGACAACTTAATTGGATGGTTGTTATTCGAAATGAAAGTTGGTAAAAATATAAGATTAAGACTACCCCTCCTATTTTATGTATTCACCGTTGGCAGCATTAGAATAGTTTAATTTTAAAATATTTCGTGTCATTACAATACAAATTATTGCTTAAACATATTTCGTGGCATAAATTATTACATTTCAGTTAATCGAAGAGTGCATATGCCTTTTTAAAACACATAATATACACTAAATTCCACCTATGTTTCTACAGGCAATGATCTCATTTAAATTACACGATTCTGGATTTGGTCTCTCTCCCATCAGTTTAGTGCAGAAGTTTAAGAAGTACTGGTACTAATTCTTTTTGTGAACAGAATTTTTTTTAGTCTCCTAAAGTCAGCAATAATTTGGATGTGATGTTTTATGAAAAGTGTAAAAAGTACAGATCAAGAGAACAAACCTTATGTAACGATTTTCTAATATAATTTTCGCCATCTGCCCTGCAGTAGCTGAAACTCAAGCTTGTGCACAGTACATAATGGTTGAAGAAATCTTTTTAATAAATAGGTACAACAAAAATTATAATAATTATGACACTTTATATATGTGAAATGCAAATAGTAGATTATAATTAATATTAAAATCTGAATTCTTATCTGTTGTATTACAATTCAGTATAACACAAAGTGTGCTGTAATTATCTGGTGGCAGGAAATGTAAAATAGTGTTTTTCAAAGCTGCCTGTAGATGTCAGTAGCGTTAAGATTTTAAGCATTTATCTTGTAATATACATATTAGCAAATTCTGTATTAAAATTGGCAGCGCTTAAATTGTCCTCGACCACCAGGTGGCCAACATGAATATTATTAAAATTTATAGAAAATACACGTGTTCAATGAGCCATTCCGATCAAGTTCACATAGCAGTCGTAAAATCTAATACTACTTTAATTTATCATTGCATATTTTTTCTAATAACGATACCTGTGCCATCTATTATGAATTGATGAACTACTGATGATTCATAATAACCAATCGCACAAATTTCTTTTGAAACCCAGGAAAGTCTATGTAGACTATACCCTCGAATGCGACAAATCCTGGAATACCGTCGCTTCTATTTCCTAAATGTACAATAAGTAACTATGAGTATAATCATTTTTGAAAAATGTGGATTTATAACCATAAGTCCATCAAATGAGTTGATTTTTGAAAATCGACGAAAAGTCGTATATTTGTAATCACAGTCCTTTATTTTGATAATCGATTTAAAAGTACCTAGCACATCATCATTATACAAGGTAATTCTAAATTGAGTACCATAAATTAAACAGCAATAAAGTTGAAATAATACGAAAACCTAAATAATTTTCTTTCGAAAATGCTACCTTAACAAGACATAGGGTGTTACATGGTCGACTAGCGGATCACTTGTCTACTCATATCTTTTAACAGAGTATATCAAGGGAATTCATTTTTTGTATACAACAATTACTCAGTGCATTCTAACAATCCAGCGCTGTAGTAATAGGGGTCAATAGGGTGCTTCAATTAAAACGATTATTTTTTTTTTAAAATTCTGATGCGAAAAAAAGGACATTAAAAATAATCTCGTGAAAGGTCCATCTCCTAACTCAGTTTTAAAAGTTTTCCCGTTAAAAACAGGGGAAAACTGTTTTTTATTATTAAAGCTTTTATTGCCGGGCCAAAATGTTTGGGAAAGAATTTTCCAATAGATTGTTTCATATAGTCTATATGGTGTCAAATTCCTATATTCAACCGGTGGTTATTGACATTCAAATGATATTCAAAGTGAATTTTATATTAAAATTATCATTAAAATGAATTTTATGGCCAAACCATCATCGATACAGAACAAAGTTAAATAATAATTTTGTAGGGAATTGAATTTGCAATAAAAAAAAGTCCAAAAATCAATTGTCGTGAACCCTATAGATTCCATTGAAACATTTTTTTTACGAAAATGGATGATGAATTTGTGTTAAAAAGCAGATTATATTGGTGTGAAATGTATTTAACCCACAATTTAAATGTTTCAGTATTGTATTACTATCCACAAATGTATTTAACTCCAATGTTTCTATTGTGTTAATTGGTAAATATCTTATAAACAGATCCATTTTGTTTTATTGTGTTATTAATTATTATAACGCTTATATATTATTAAACATATATAATTAAAATAAATCTAAGTAAAAATATGTGTAGCAATCAATTAGCCAAATTTCAAAAATAAGCTTATAAAAAGTATATTATTAATTATTAGTTGTAGTAGAATTAGATCTGGTTTTAACAGTACTGGTTTTATCTTCAGTTGTTTTTGTGTTTGTTTAGGTTTGTTTGTAATCCTGGCGTTGTTCTTCTGCATCGTCCAATTTAACAGAAGTTTTTCTCTTGTCAATGGATTGGGAATAGGTGGTGCACTGTCTAATTTTTCTAGAGTTTCTTTGGCGTTTTTTGGGATTTCAGATTAATCATATAATAATAATAATATAGTTTATTTACTAAAATAAAGTATATAGAAGGTTCCAAACAAACAAATATGATATTATGTAAAAAAAGAAATAAGCAAAAAAGGAAGTGTTTCACAGAGACAAAACTGCCAAATGGTACACTTATAAATACAAATATAAAATTGTATATTACATAAAGAGGAACAATATAAAAGTATTAATAAAAATTAACAATTTTTTTATCTTTGTTGGGTCTTACTACTATATGAATAATTCTTTTAATACTGAATATTTAAAAATACAGTTACCTTATATAAAAATTAACATGTTATGTGTGATACAAAAAACAGGGCAAGACATAAAAAAATTAATTTTTATTAATGTTTTACCATTCCTATTTTTTGTATTACAAGTTTTTGTTAGTAATTGTATATTGTTTCTTTTTATATGACTGAATATATTTGATGTAATGATGACGCACTAGGTTGTTTGAAATCGGTAGATAAAGAATTGTAAAATATGACTTTTCTCCCATTTCCAAAAATATTTGTATGTGGAAAAATTTTGTATTTTCTGTCCACAAAGTACTTTCACACCTTGTTTCATTTATTCTCGACATCAATCTGACATTGTTATCCAGGTGGTGTCAAAACGTCAAAATAATTATTTTTATGTTTGTCAATATCTGTAAAATGCTGTTTGTTTTTAATTAATAAGTAAGTACAATCACCAAAATTATCACTTGAAATATGGATACATCCAAATCGTCGGTCAGAACCAATCTGAAGCCTATAAATGTATTTTATGTGTGGTATACGGAATTGTGTCGTCGGATAAATTGCACGCCCGCACCTGTTGTCAAGCCTGCTAAACCCAAATGCCAAACTATTTTAGAATTTGTTGCTGATCGCCTGAAAGTAGAAGAATGGAATCCAATTATAAATGCCCTTCGTCACGATACAAGCCTTCATGTGATCAACATCAAAAGTAGGATAAACAAATGTCAATTTTTACATGAAGTTGATACCGAAGAAAAAGCCAAGCATATGAAGAGGCGTTTTGGTTCACTGTGGACATCATATATTTTAAGACAACTCATGAAGTCTTTATCAACCTCTGTGAGGAATACTGAAGTTCTTACCTGCTTAGAACTAGATGGATTACCGATGTTCAGTGACTACCTTGAACCTTTGCTTCAAGCATTGAAGAAAAATAAAACTATTAAGTCATTGTCTTTTGCTAACTGCACCATAAAGGATATTGGTTGCCAATTGATATGTACGTATTTACGTTTTACACCAAATGTTGAAATAATAAATCTTTCTGGTTGCGATTTATCAGGAGAAAGTGGAGATCACCTAGCTAAATTAATAAAATACCAGCAGATTAACAGATATTGTGAGAGCTGGCACAATTCACTACGATACGAAAATCCCTTATCCGGTGTAATGCGTGGAATTAAAAGAATTACTATAAATTGCAATCCGAACTTCGGTGACGATGGTTTCAATTTTATCTTAGGTGAACTGGAGGATGATTTATGGATAAAAGCAGTAGATTTACAAAAATGTGGAATAACTGAAAATTTAGCTGGGAAAATAATTGATACCGTTGAATATAATAGATCCTTGGAAATTGTGGATTTGAGACAAAATGAAATGTTAAATATTTCAACAATAGAAAGGGTCTTACAACTTTTAAGAGACAAGCAGCAATTCGGGTTCCAACCGGAATATCAATGGTGTAACACAGCCTTAACTTTAACATGGAACTCAGTACGTGATACTCAGTCGAAATTTTCTGTTGGGACAAGCAGTATTCACAAGTCGAAATCAGCACCTATGAAAAATGTATCTAAAGGAAGCAATTTTACAAATGAACAAGTTATAAGAAAATCGAAAACTGTTGATAATATTCAGAGAAAGAGCGGAAAAATCATACTTAGCAAAACCAATTACATCGATACAGAAAAAGTTTTGGAATTGAATACAAAATTAAAGGAAGA